TTATTCTCTGAGAAAGTATCACATGGCTCTTTGATTGTTGATCCATGCCAGAAAAGATTCTAATGACTCTTCATCCGCATAATCCGTTGTAGGCCCAGCAAAAACAAGCCTTGCTTCCAGCCCAACTGCCCAAATATCACATAAATCGTTCACAATATTCAGCCGTACTTCATTTGGGGGTTTTAAAAAGTTCAATGGGCCGTTTAGGAAGGCCTCATTTCATCCCGGGCAGCCAGAGTCGCGTTGTGCGTTTGGATCTATCTATTCGTGAGTCGCGTAAACCCGCGGGTCCCCAAAATCCAACCCAACCCAAACCCGCGCGACTTAACGAGGACGCTGAAAAGATCACAAGGCGCTAGTTTAGTTCGTCAAGTTTGAAATTATTGTCTTGATATAGTGCGGTAAGCTTAGAATGCATTAAGTCCTCATAAGTTCTTCGATATAGCTATGTATCCCTTAGGATACAGAAAGAACGCAGCGAGAGAAATCGAGCTATGCAAATATATATATATATATATATATTTTGATAAAGAGCAGGCATTGATGGGCGACCCGCGGGAACCCACCAAGAACCCATGGGCGGGTTCATGCAGTCCAAAACCCGCGGTGGGTTGCCCGTGGGCGGGTAAAGAAGTTGAAAACCCAACCCAAACCCGCGCTTGGCGAGAGCTAGCCAGAGTATAGGATACTGCACGTGATCTGATGACAGATCTATCGGTTGGCTCTCGGTGGCCCATCTGTGTTCCTGGTGGGTCACCATCGATTGGTGACGGGTAGGTCCGTAACACCTAAGGCCTATATCCAAGTTATAGTCTCTAGTAACTATAGCTTTATTATCTCTATATCTATATCTCTTATAGTCTATATCTACTCCCTCCTCTTCCTTTTTCTCCATCCCTTTATTATTACTAATTAAATCTAGTTTAATATCCTTTAAATAATCGTTTTCTTTCTTTACTAACTCGATCTTAGCTAATATAAAGAACTACTAGAGCTATTTACTTTAGCTTCTTTAAGGTGTCTGGTTTACTTTCCTTACAATACCTTTAGTTGAGTCTCCTAGCAAACCCCATATGGAATTGCACGCGTGCCAAACTTCTCTTCGCCACAATCAAGTCTTATTTGAAGGTTATATATGCTTCACAGTAGCTCTTTCGATGCCTTATCATCTAGTAGAGAAGTTATTTTAAGTAGTGTCGACCACTTAACCTGCATTGTGCTTTTCTTAACATCGAGATATTTCACCGCAGCAAGTCTTTCTATGCTTGCCTACCAGACTCTTAGACCAAATTTCCTTTCGCTCAATCCATTCGTTCGAAACCAAATAGCCTGCCACACATATTAACGATGATCGTTAACTTGAAAATCAAACTAGGATCCCCACGTAAAAAGGGGCAGGGAGATGCAATATACGAAGGGCTTCAGAACCAAGTTTAACGTACATGTCATTGTCGAACAATCTGCCGGCTGTAAGTGGGGCAAAGGGACTCAACATAGTCGAGTAGAGACCAAATATCTCCACATTATCCTGGTGTGCATCATCTGCCGCGTCTGGAGTAGAATTGATCGTGAAATCACGTGAGTCGGGCGCATTCCCCCTGGGAGCTATGCTAGGAGCAAGCGCCTGATTGTAAATCCGGCTTTTTGCCTTGTTAAACATCCTTGATAGTATTTCAGCGCCGAAGTATACGCTTTTGAGCTCTTTAATAATCATTATACAAAATTCAAGATTGTGGCGGCCCATTCGTTATACTAGCTGTTTTTTAGAGGTGGTATCAAGGAGATGGGTTTGCAATGTAGGAACTAAGGCAATGTAGCTAGCGATATTTAGCATCCTTACTTGTGAATATCTTATTAGCCCCCTGGTGATATATATATACCATCGCTTGAATACTGCTGATCATATTAGCACCGATTATATTAGCCAAGATCTTGTTGGTGTTCATCGCTATGTCTTTAGTCCTCCGCACTATAGTGGATATCCATTCGTTAGTAGAGATATCACAAAAATTCGTTTCTGGCTTATTAAAAAGGAATGGCCTGTAGAGAATCAACGTAATGGACCTATAGCTATACCATTAGGCTGTTAGGAACTAAAGAAGACAGTTATAAACTTACTTACTCTAGATATAGCTCTAGATGGTAGACGTGTATGGAGATGGTATAACTGTGTTTGTGAGCTATAATATGGTCTTTGCGGAAATTATACTACCGAATCTTATTATCTATGTGCTGTATTTCACTCTTGCTGGGTCGCGTCCGCTCTGCTTGGTTTTGCTATAAGAGAATCTTCGCTAAAGAGATGGTAAGTGCTAATAGCTCTGTCTATAGTTTAGATAAGTCCCTAGTCCCTTTGGGAAGGTACTTTTCTTGAATACTCTCCGAAATCCCTACGAGTAAGTTACCTTTATTATTGGTATCTGGTATTAGGGTACTGTAGTCGGCTAGGTTGATTTGTATAGGCCTGCCTATGCTGGTAGAGAACCACGTTTCGCGATAAAAGCAGCTCTACCATATCTACCACTAGATTCTACTCTTGTTAATTGAAATAGCTTTATTATATTTTCGATTGCGGTCTAGCTACTAATACAGCCCTATCGACTGGTATAGACTGAGAGTAACGCCGTTCTAATACTAAGGTCTAGTCCTGTCTTTAATATCTGAATACTAAAAGCCCATCAGAAGTACTGCCTAGATTAGAGTAGTCTTTCTACTCTTATACTTAGCGTTATAAAGAGCCTATGTGATTTTAGTTAGCTAATACCCCTTCTCTAAAACTATCTTATTGAGCCATAACCTTAGCTTGGATATATATTGTACGCTTTATTTCTTTTCGAGATAAGAAGTTGGCTGTATTTAGTGTACTATTATCTATAAACTATATTACTTATGTTAGGATACTAACTAGGCGAGGGGGTATATGTGAGCTATACATTTGTAGTAGCTAGAAACATACTCTATAATAGATGTATACTTAGTTCGTTATGTACGTTTTTGAATATATCGAGGAATAAATAAGCATTAATAACTAGGAAAAAGGGATGTATATTGTGGAAATACGTCTGTATAATCATTTCGCAAATAGTAGGAGCGGGCTAGTTAAATACTCCCTTATATCTTAAGTATTCAATCGTCTCCTAGGCTATATAAGTTGGGGTAATTTGTGGGATAAGGAAGTGGCCGCTCTTGTTCCTTGGTTCCGGCTCGCAGATGTTTACTACTAAGCTAACGCCCTAAGGGTCGCCTAAGTAACTGAATTAGTATTGTAGTGGATTATCCTAAAGATTAGCTAAATATCTGATTCTAATGTTTGATTCTTACCATATAATAGGGAATAGTACTTATCTGCCATATCTCCGCCAGGTTGCGATATGCTGGCGTCAACTCCATTATAATGGCTGAAATGCTTGTTAAACGGACGATAAGGTGTTTCGGTTCCATCTCTACTCTTGTTAACTAACGGAGGGGTGGGGCTCTGCCCATTCCGCACAAATACATTCTCCGACATAACGTTGTGCTCTGGACCGAGTGAAAAGCTGCAACTCTCTACAGGAGTGCTCTGTACTGCGGGAGTGCTCTGTACCGCGGGAGTGCTCTGTACCGCGAAATTGCCATTCGACGGCGAAGAGACTGCACTGACGCGGTAAGACGAAGGTTGTAGTCCAGCTCTGCTGCCGGCTTGTCAGCGTGCTTGCCGAGGGATTCTTCGGTCTGAGGTTGCCTCGTCACTTACTTTGATCTTCTGCTCACCCGTGGCACACACGAAACAACGTCTAACGAGCAGTTGGCGCAAGGTTGGCCAGTCTGCGGGAGACTGCACCTTACTTTTCGGGCGTGGCATGACTGGCAAGCTACGGATGCTCGTTTTTTTGACCGTTGCGTTCTGCTAGTGTGCTTCGGACTCTCCCCTGAAGAAATTGGCATCACGAAAAAGAGCAATCTGGTCTTTGCGAATGAGGTCCAGACATTATGTTCAGCACCAATGTGGGAAGGTTGCCGCGGATAAGTACTTTGGAGTTCACATGTTGGACCTCGGCAACGTTTAGCCGACTAGTTGTTGGCGATTAGTCATACAAGCTCGAGTTAAGCCTCGGCTGCCCGTTCGAGCTGACTGTCTACCAATCCACCCTTGCTTGACACAGCCCATAGGCCCAAAACGGTTATAAACAGGTTACGTCACTTAACGTGTAAAAGATACCTGTATGACTATTTACTGGAGGATATTATAATATAAATACTTGTTATATTAGGTATTGACCACTATAGATATATGTAACTATAATCATTATTTAATATATTTTATTGTCCCTAGTATATAACAGTATATATACTCATATAACTATACAACACCGGAACGCAGGCTGTATGCCGCTGACTAAGTAACACTTCGCAGGTTTTGTAGTTACCTCTTCACTATGCAAGAAAAGCGGAAAAAGCTGCCCAAACAGCCCATAAACGGGCCATGGGCTGAGGTCTAATTCTCTGCTGAGACGGCTGCTTTCAACATCTTATTCATTTCAAGTCCTAAGGGTATCTTGTAGTAGCAACGTAACAGTACTTCTGCTTGAGTCAGCACTATGGCGGAGAGAACGCTATGGCGGAGAGAACGCTATGGCCCACGAGTGTGGCAACGTTCCAGGGTATTTTTGGGTTGTTTCCGGACCTTGTGAGTTTTTGATAAAGTTATTTCGGACGGGAATGGCGAAGGGAACGAATGTATTCCTAGGCAGCGTTCAAGTTGCATCTTACTACACATACCAAACTTCTCAACCCAAATATTCGAAGCTGTTTTGGCCTCTTACTTGGGACAAAGCGGCTGGACGTGGGCCCCTGGTGCACCGATGAGAGATATGCAAACATACTAAAGAAGAAATCATCATGTAGTTTCTGAATGTTCTCGCAATGCTTTTAGATGGCCGCTACCGAATCAGATACGGATGTCGAGGATGTTCAGATAGTGCAGTCTGTCTATTCGAGGTTCTAATAAATCATTTACCCGCTTAAATGTTCGACTTCTTCTTGCCAGTCACGTTGGAAATCTCTTTACCAGATAGCAGGCAGTCAGGGTATTGCAGGTTTCCGTTGGTCACAATGCCCCCCAACATCCGCCAGTTTGCACCGTCGACTATAAGCACGTTAAACCACAAACGGTTTTTTGGGATTACATTGCGAATGACATTAACTTACCAACGAGAGTCTGGCCGGTGACATAACTCCCGGCATCAGAGAAGAGATAGATTGTTGCATCGGCAATATCGCGAACGTGTCCGAAACGGCCCAAAGGCTGAGACTTGATATAAGCAGACTTGGCGTCGGATGGGAGTAGACGCTCCAAACCCTGGAAACAACGTTAGCGTACGCTTGGCAAATCAATGTTTGATTATCTGACCTCCGTCTGGGCAATGGGACCAGGGGCAATAATATTAGAGGTCAACCCCCGAGGGCCATACTCAATCGCAGTGGAGTTGGATAGGGAGTCAATGGCGGCCTTGGCAACGGAGACATGGGCCTGGAATGGTATGCCGCGATAGTGAAGAGTCGCGCTAACGAAAATTATTCTGCCCCCTGTTCTACTAGGGGCAGGCTGAACTGATCCTTAGGATTAGAAATTGCGGAGCGACGGGCAACCAGAGGGTGTAAACTTGCGGGTTTTTGAATCAATTTTGTGCTTACCGCCAGACACAACCAGGTAAGGCAAGGTGGCCTTGAGGGTATTGTAAGAGCCAAGCACATCGATGTCCATGACGGATTTGAAAGCATTGACTGAGAGTTGCTCAATAGAGGCAAGGAAGTTGCCTGCGGCCCCAGCACTGTTGACTGAATTAGTATGAAGCGATGAATAAGAGGAAAACGTGGGTTTAAATGCAGACATACATAACAAAGTCAATGCTACAAAGTTCCTCAACACAGCGCTCCACGGCATTTTTCAGATCCTCGAACTTTCTAACATCCACGGCGCCAATTCCAATGACCTTGGCTCCAGGGCGCACCGTGGCAATATCTCGCGCCACGCGCTCTGTCTTTTCTACATTGCGACCGATGATACATGCATTGGCTCCGAGATGGACTAGTGCACGGACTTGAGCACTGCAGATAGTGCCAGCACCACCTGTGCAGAAGACCACCTTATTTACTGGCAGAAAAAGATCAGTTATACCGAGCTCCAAACATAGCACAAGGGTGAGACCTGCCGAAGATGTCATCCTTCCAGATGTCGCTGATATACTCAGACTTGGATAAGGGCATGATGATGTGTGTGTTCAAGATTCACAAAACTGAATAGAGGTTCTTATATATATCACTGGTTGGGTGGAGTCGAGAAGTTATATATCTGAGCGGCGGCCAGCGTGCCTCCAATCTCCATTTTCCTCACATGCCGCAGGTTGTTCCTCGGCTCGGCCGGAAATAGTGCAGACGCTGTGCATCGACAAGAACCGTGGTAATGTACGCGCTTGACATGCTTGTGGTACCTTGGTGCCTCACCTTGCATTGTAAGGCACCGAGTCTACCTGCTGTGTAAATTACTGGGACCTGAATCAGTAGGGTGCAATCCAAGCAACATAGTCCACGCTGCGCTTTCTGATTCTGTCAATTATGACAGGGGCAGAGACCTGTTGAAATTGTATGGGCGATTCCTAATGTCCAGCCCCACGACCTGGATTTCTATCTACGGCTGGATCCTCATAGTCCAAGAATCCCGAGGTTCGGGACCAGCCAACTCTTTGCTGCTATCGCTCTATCATACTTGGGCTTCATTCCAACATGTTCTTGTTAAATGATAACAACAGCCAGCGAATCCAGCCTGAAGAAGTGTCGAATGCTGATAAGATGGCGCGTGCACGTCATCACCAGAGACTCGAGACTCCCAAGGTCCAAATTACATTCTTTTTTCTTATTCTAATTCTATTGAGTTACGGACTTATGATGCCCCAAAGCTAGCTGTACGGACATTCTGATTTAGTAAATCCCTAATCAGAAGTTCTTTTCCATGTCATCATGGCCTGCCCAATCACTATCCTCAAGACTATCGGCACGGTGTCACTGGGTATACTGTCGATAAGCCAGAAACTTTTAAACCATTCCCCAGCGATGTGAACATATGACTAATCTATAGCGATCAACAATATTCGGGGCTTCTATGTTTGTGTAAGGGCATCAACGGCTATATCAGTCTCGCAGAAGCGATAATATCACCCCTGAACTATTGCCTTGAGCGTTCGGACTCTTCATAATTCTAAATCACATCAGATCCAAGCGATGCAGATCTGCTGACATTTTTCTGCACCAAACGGAACAGACAGGGGGGAAGAAAATCGTATGGCTCACTGGTAGTTCGGATATGGCCGTAGAGGCAGGATTAACGTGCCGATTGGATGGATAATTGATATGAACAAGTGAAAGGTTTAGCTACATCGGCATCGGCCAACAACCTGCTCTGTGGCCTTCGAATCTATGATAGAGCTGCTGTATGACGCTCTCATTGGCCAAAACAAAGATAGTCTACATTGAAAAAGGAGGAGATGGAATCCGAATTCCCGTATGGAGATATGAAGAAGAAAAGACAGGAGCACAGCTTGAAGCTATATATCATACGAAGTGTAAATAGAGGTTTACAAACGAAGCGCCAATGCCTAGGGCCTAAGCAGGATGATACGCTAAGCACAATATTCAAAATATCAAATTCGAGATATCTTGCTCTTGGACAGAGCTTCTCCTATCTTAGCCTGTGGGATGCCCTGGCAGAAACGGTCGAGGCCACCGAACATTTCTAGCGGGGCTTGTTCGTCCTGCTCCCTAACTAAGCGGCGACGTATAAGCGCCTTTGTTCCTAGGAGACTTGACTTTACTAAATATTCGCCGAATATCTGCTATAGGTACTTTATCACCTGCCTACGGAAATTATCTTTGCTTTCGAAGACCTTATTTACGAAGCCGACCTGGACCAACTCGCTGATAGGGATCTTTTTGCTAAGAAGGAGTGCCTTGTTTGCTTTACCTTAACCTATCCGCTGCGCAAATGCGATACTAGAACCGCCTTTAGCGACGAGGCTAAGAGAGGTAAAAGGAGTTATCAGATAGGTATCGGATACTGCGTATATGAAGTCCGAGTGGGATATCAACGCTGTAGAAAGCCCTATAGTAGGTCCGTTTAGCGCCGTAACTAGAATCTTCGAATGGTTGTAGAACGCCCTCGCTATATCGATATTGTTATTTACTAACTTTAGAAGCTAGTAAGGGCGAGATAATAAATCCTCTATAGATAGTGGCTTCCCTTTTAGGTTAGCGCCTCTAAAGTTAGACTTAGCATTACTTTATAACTTCCGCTTTTTGCGCTAAGGTAAAGAGAACGTATGTAGAGAAGAAAGAACCTTCGCCGATTAAGACTGTGATATATACATCCGGATTTTCTTTAGCGTCTCGAAGTAAGCTTGCAAAGCGATAATATAAACTTTGCGTTAGGGTATTGAACTTTGTTGGATTATTTAGGGTGATGACGGCAAAGATGCTGTCAATATTGAGGCGAACAAGAGTTTCTTTAGCTATGTTTTAGTAGAGTCGATATGCCTGATGATCGATAACGAGAAAAGTTAAAAGATCCTGTTAAAATTGGATTTAAATAATTCAAATGGTTATTATTTAACCTTTTTAAGTCGTCCTTTCAACATATATTACCTCAGCTGGTGTTAGCCGCGGTAACTGAGTGAAGATGTTCAGTGCCGCGGAAACGCCACCCATCACTGTCTCAGCATAACAAGCCCGAGGTGAGCACCTGTCTACCACCTCGGGATGGAGTATATATCTGATAGACTTTATATATCTGTGGTTATAGCAGCCTGTATACTCTGGTTGCATATACATTAGTCACACTATCTATTTTCGACATGGATCTCTGGAAGTGGTGCCTCGGTTTGGTACTTGGTCTAAGTCTTAAGAACTTACCTTTTATGTGGCATGTGAGCTTTTAACTATATTTCTTTTCTCCTAAATCGATACTAACATTCTAGTATCGATTTTTCGGTACTATTGTAATAGGCTACCTTACCTACGGAAGGTTAAGCTATATACCTAAATAATATCATGTCTTTCTCCCAGCAGTCATCAAGTCACAATCCCCAGCAACTAAGTGTAACTTTAACGTTTATAAATCGAATTCGACCTACCTTACTGATCTCGATGTATCAAGAGCGTACCTTAGTAGGTTATTATTCGCCCCTATTCTGCTAAACTTTAAAAACTCGATGCGCTGCGACTTAATTATTAGCGCGATTGTATACACGTTTCACTGAGAAATCAAGCCATTTTAACTATATCGACTCTAGACTAGGGTTGCGAGCTAGGATGATAAATAGATTTATATGATTATATATTTCGTTAATAACGGCAAGGTTTGGCCCCGATGCTACGCTATATAGGCGGATACTTCGATTAATAGTAAGAAGATGAGAAATCTAGTACCTTATAAGGAAGACCGATATGAAAGAGTCTTTGCTTCTGCTATGACTCGGATGGTGTTTAAAAGAGGTCGCTTGACTATACCTCCTTAGCGTGCTTTAGAAATCTGCGGTATTCTATCGGCCGAACCCCCAGCTGCAGCATCCCGTTTAGACACCAGAGCTAGAGCAACAGAGTCAGATACTATTTGCCCTGAATGGACACTCGGAGAGATCGAATTATATAAAGATGCAAGTCTTCTAATCGTGAGGCTTGAAAAGGGCTGGGATGCTGTCTGTGCGCTATTCCGAGAAGAGCTGTTTGCGTTGGTAGAGTACAGTGATTTCATGTGGTGAAGGTCAGGGCTGAAAAATAGTAGGAATATAGAGTATATTTTGCGTCTTGATAAATAGAGACTGTTGGAAATCCTGACTATTTCGGAAGTTTTTTTATGACTCGTACCGAGCCCGGCCGAAAGACTCCGAGTCTCTGAATAGCACGGTAACATTGGAAATCATGGTCTCCACGAGCGCATCGATACTAGTATGGGGCTGATATATGACGAGGCCAGTCATCTTATGCACGTCGTGCGCGGCGTCGCTAGATCTAAAGTGGGGAAATTTGAATTTGGAATGGAGAGGGAGAGGGCTGTTTGTCCAGGATAAGATTTGCACTGAGTAAATCCCTCGCCCACATGGGCGTCACCGTTTAACGCTAATAATAAACAACGATGTCAACCCCCTGTAATCTCAAATCTAGCGGTATGTTGATCCATGCGCCCTACAACGGACCTTGCACAACGTGACCAGGGCGGCTGTGATAAGATCTACAACGTAAGAGAGATCGTGAAAAGGCTGTACTATGTGAATTGTAGAGTGATGAAGTATGTGTAACTATGAAGATGGAAAGGAAGGGTAGTACTAGACTACATACATGGAAAGAAACGTCATGTGACACTAGGGAGATTCAACAGGCTGTGAATGGGATGCGTCGTTTAGGGAGTAATCTGGATTCAGCAAACTTGATGGCGAAGGCTCCCACAGTAGTTGCGGCTCCATTGACCACGAGGGGCGTTGGGACAGTGGCTGGGTTCCATGGTAGCGGCAGCTGGAGTCTCCGATAGACGCCAAGTGTAGTGGTCATGCTAGCAAGCGGAATTGTGGCACCCTCTAGCTATCCGTAAGAAACAAGACGTATACTAAATACGTAAAGCAGGCACATACCTTCAAGGTCGTGGTAAGGGGGAGATGGAACGCTGCCTTGGCGGCCGCCACTGAGTACACTGCCTAGCTACCATGGGGAGTAAACATCTGATGGAAAGCAACAACACGGTCGCCGTGACGAAATCCCGTAACTCCTTCGCCGACTGCGTCAACATAGCCGACAATGTCGTCGCCATGGTTCGCTGCGTTCCCGCCAACTAGTTTAGGCATTTTCCAGTCCATGGGGTTTGTGCCTGACACAATGGCGCGGATAAGCAGCTCACCCGGCCCGACTGCAGGCATGGGAACGTCACGAATCTCGACGTTCAGGGCTTTGCCGATATATGCTTCTTTCATGATTGTTGATGAAGTGCGAGTTGTTGTCTAATATTCTGATCTTAAGGTTTCTGGTAATCAGGGGCCTTTTTGTCCAGGTTTTCTTCTTCGGGATGTTTATAGTTGTCGCCGGCCTCTTCTACCACAAGATGTTACGCGCGCCTACAGCTGCCAGCCACAAGCCTTCCATCCGATGGCAGAAATATCTTATCACGCTCTACGTCGTCAGCGTATTGATTTGGATTCGGAGTGCGTTCAGAGTCATCGAATATCTTGAAGGCAATGCTGGTTCTATCATGAGGCATGAGGCCTATATCTTCATCTTCGATGCCACACTGATGGTTCTTGTTATGGCCTGGATGAACTGGTTCCATCCCAGTGAGATTGGTCTTTTGCTGCGAAACGATATGGCCATCACCAACGGGTTTGAGCTCTTTGCCTTCACTAGTTCTTATCGGAGGGCGAAAAGACAGAACTCTGCTACTTAGAAGACAGCCAGTAACGGAGGAGCAATGACAACTACTAGGCGCTCTTTCACAACCTGACATAGACTCAAAAATTTTCTAATATCTGTCCGCTTTTCGAAGATCATTTGCCTACTATATTAAGCATCACGATTAGTAGGATACCTGTGCATTTCAGATATGTCCATAATGTCATGTCATCCCACGATTATCTGTTGCATTCGACGGTCCGATTCTGACCGCCGAGCTGATAAACCAGCGCGACAAATTGCGGAGACCTATTTAGTCAAGAGAAACGTATTTTAGCACATCAATTGTACATCAAACACCTTACCTCCGTCTCTGAATATGGTGAAATCGGCAACTTATGGCAAAGACGCCAAGATTCGAAGACAAAATACGACTAATCCAAAATGAAACATGTTTTTGGATTTGTAATTTCTTGGCCAAATGAGCTGTGGAAGGACAGTACTTAAAGAAGAGATTAGGGATCCGTGTAGTTCATTTCTTTTTTTTTCATCATCATCATCATCATTATCACACTTATCCCAATCATTTCAGTCGGCTCCAATTCTGCCTAACAATGACCGCTCCATCATTCAAAACGCTCGTCGCACTTGCGGGAGGAACGCACACTTGGGTGCCAACTCCTAAAAGCGAGGCAACGCAAGATGAGGTCGTAGCCATCATGCAGGAACATGGAATCACCAATCTTGACACTGCCAGATCTTACGTGCGTATACTAATTTGTCACAAAAGTCCTACATGGTTCTACCATAAATTCTTCAAAATTCCCGGCGGGTTGATTGGCTGATGTCAAGAATAGGGCATGGGAGCGTCTGAAGAAACAATTGGAAATAAAAATCTCGGAGCGGAATTCAGTGTTTGGACAAAAGCTCCCACAGGTTTGGGCGGCGGGGCCGGGAAAAGGGAGAACATCCTCGAGCAGGGACGGAAAAGCAACGTAGTCCTGAGACTTAGCAAGGTGAGCTTTACTGTGGCCTGCCCCGAAACAACACGTCCTGACCATTCTCCAGATTCCGGTGTACTTGCTCCACGCTCCGGACGAATCCGTCCCAGTGGCAGAGACCTTGGGCGCAATTCAAACGCTGTACGAAGAGGGCCGCTTTGAAAAGGTATCCGTCGCTCAACTCTCACGTCTCACCACCCAACATACAGCTTACTTTAAACTTATAGTTCGGCCTCTCCAATATGTCCCGCGACCAAGTCCTCGAGCATTACAACTATGCCAAGTCCCAGAATTTTATTCTACCAACAGTCTACCAAGCTTCCTACAGCATCGTCGTACGTGGCATTGAGACCAACCTTCTCTCCACGCTCCGAGAACTTGGCATCTCAATCCAAGCCTACTCTCCGCTTGCTGCTGGATTTCTCTCCAAAACGGTCGAGCAAATCGAAAACGGTAACGGAACCGAACGTTGGGATCCTAATTCGCCTTACGGGATGGTTAACAGACAATTGTATTTCAAGCCGAGTTACATGAAGATGTTAACGGAGTATGGGAAGTTGTCTGAGCAGAGTGGTGTCAGTAAAGTTGGATTGGCATACCGCTGGGTGAGGTACCATAGTGCTTTGAAAGGGGAGTTGGGGGATGCGATGATCATTGGTGCGAATTCCGCGACACAGTTTCGCGAGGCCGTGAAGGAGATTGAGAACGGGCCGCTAGAAGAGTGGATTGTAGAGAGAATTGATGAGCTGTGGGAGCTGGTGAAGGATGATGCACCAATTGATAATTTGCGGGCTATTAGGGATGTGATTGGTGGATTGAAAAAGTGACCATGAAAGGCTCCATGTTGCAGGCGCTCAATTGACTCGACTACGTTATGTTAGACTACAATACGACTGAATTCTTTTACTGGCCGACCACAAAAAAATCGTTTGCTAGATTAGCCAATGGAACGGAGTCCAGGTAGAGGTTTCCAGTATCCCGGGACAGCAGAGGTCTCCATCACCGTAAATCTTTGTCGGGGGTGTAGAGTTGGGCATTGCTCCTAATCAGACGAGGCACGGGACGAACGGTGAGATATTTTCATGCCAAGAACTTGAGATTGGTGCCGGTGAAGTGATCCGGGTTAGAATGGTTCAACCCAGATCATGGCAGGGTTAGGTTTTAGACCACGACCTTCGACCCAAGTTAAAATTTACTTTGATCCTTTCAAGTCCCGTGATCAGCCTGAGAGGCACGGGCCCACTGTAGACCCGCAATTTGTCTTGGTGCACTATAAGTCAATTAGTCATCAATCGGAATTGTAACTAGTTAACTAGTTGATCTGTTGGATCTTTAATCACCAAAAGCCCACAATTTGTCTACTGCGGCCCTGCAGCATTCACCACTATACCCCTGTTATTCAACTGCGCAACATCAAACCAACCACATTCCCCAATATCCCTCCTACGGTTTACAGAATTTGTTTAGAACAGTACACGTTGATTGATCAGCCGTCGAATACTTGGTTTCTCAATTCACATAGCTCGCTGGGCAGACGTACCGATAATGCCACCGAGGTCGACAACGGTGGAGCCGCAAGCGCCTCGCCGTGGCCGTCCTCCAATTGAAGCGGTGGATTACGATGCCAGCGATGAGGAGAACGTAGGTCAGGAAAATTTGCTTCGATTCTAATCAAGCTAAGGGTGTATAGAATAAGAAATTGCGTATGCGTCAAGCGCAAAGAACATATCGAGCTAGAAAGGAGAAGGCGCTAAGATCTGAGAGGGCCCGCGCTGAACGACTCAGCAGGGCCTTGGACGAGGCAATGGCAACCTTTACCAAGCTCCATCGGCGGGTTCTTCAATTCCAGAACATACAAAATTCACCCGAGCTCCTACTTTCCCTCAATGAAGCTGCCACGGAGATGACCACAATCGCCCATGAAGCGCACAAACTGGATCATTTTTCGAGTCTTTCGGATACTTCATCCCCAAGCACTCATCAGCAAAGCCGCCTAGGTGTATGCATGTCTTCGGATACAACGCCCAGGCGGGACGCGTTTAGCGAGGGCATTGGATCGACCAAGGACTCAATTTCCCACCAGCCATCCGTCCTAGCTTCTGAAGTCGTGGCACTTTCCCTCAGGATGGACCGGTCCGGCACAACAATATCAGAAAGGATGGTTCGAGCCTGCGTGGAGCGTGTTGTGTCCATTTTGGCTGGTGGCTCTTATGATAGAATATCGCCTCCAACTTTGAGCATTCCTCTCCAATTACTTGGAATGGAGGGGCTGAGGACTAACGCTCTTAGACTATCTCGCATTAATCTTGCGGTGGCTGATTTCCAGTATCCTCCGCACTCCATAGCGCGGCTCCCACAAATGTATCGTGTTGTTGAGGGTGAAAGCAACTTCGTTCCTCGGCTACCAGCACCATCGGTGCAGCAAATCATACGGGGAAAGACTAGGACGATATTGACGACAAATATCACTTCTCTACAGGGAGAGTGGCTTGAGGCTATGGACGTTGAGGAATACCTCGAAGAACGAGGGATCTATCTGCCAATTGTCAACCAAAACGGTACAATGTCCCAGAAAGAGAACAGACCTCGGTACTATGCCATTGCTCCGGAGCAGACCGATTCTCTACAGGGCAAGCAGATCTTCTCGATAAACACCTATTTAGATCCTGTGGCGCAAAGCCTAGTGGCAGGGCTTGACCAGGAAACGCAACAACCGCCGAACGAGAATGATCGTGATGTTTCTATGGCCTCATCAGTCTATTTGAACCGCCATGAGCCCGCAGACTATTCGATATTTGGAATTCCATTGTCCCAGCCTTTGCGAAATTCGGCCCTGTCCCGTATGACAAGTGTGAGAGGCCTTGTTCCTATCGATACATCAAATCTGGCGTGGCCGGACCCATCACTCTCGAGCTGTCAAGATTTGCAGGTTCCGGGTCCAACTTTACAGATCACTATCGATATTGATAAGCTTGTACAGCTGCTTGCAGCAAATGCCAGGTGCCTTGGCCCTATTCCTGGAATTCGGAAAGCTGCTGTGGACTATTCCATTCGGGAATCTGTCGTCAGGTTCTAAAGGACTGCAGATATCTCCCTTTTCTCGGATGTTACGGACATGCTAGTCACCGTGGGGACTTACCGATGGGTCACCGAGGGCCAACCGGCACCATAGGTTCTAATACCCTCAACAATAGGAAAAAAGAACCAAAGGTTTTGGAAGGCATGTTCATAATTGTTTGTTTTTGTTGACATACATGGGATGTCTTTGTCTCTTTGTTCAGACTGAGCCTTTGCTAGTTTGCCATTTCTTTGGTATTACAGGCTTCATATACAGCCTGCTTTCCAAAGATTCATTATCACCTCTCTTCTTCCCGATTTTCCCATGCTAGTATTCACTAGTAGTTCTCTAGTATCGTAGGCCTTAACAGGTTATAAGGGCCTCGTTTCTCCCCTTTGTTTTATTACGAGTGGGCAATTTAGCAGATAATATATTATAGTCTCGTATAGACTATAATGTCGGAAGTGGACGGCGCACCGAACGGAAATGTTACAATGCACCCAGACTTACCGAGGAAACATATCCTTCTTCCTGGGAGGAAAACAGCCTTCTGATGATCAGAAGTGGACGCCAAACCTAGAGGCAGTACGGGCCTCCATACGTTCCGCCATTGCGACGGGCCTCCATACGTTTCGCCATTGCGACGGGCCGACTCGAGGCCACTTGAACATATCAACGAACAGAACTCCCCACCCTATTCTTCCGACCCTACTCACCCACCACCTCGTGCTATAAACGGTAGACGCGCTTCAACTGCCGAAGATAGGATGTTGAACACTTGCAGAAACGCCTTCAAGCCAGCCTACTAACCCACTTACTAACCCACGAGAAACTCGCTGCGATACTGCTTTCTGGAAATGTCATGTGTTATAAGGTTTTATGTATGGGCTTTCAGGAGACACAGCATACACAGATGGACATGTACAGTAGATCAGTGATAGTTGCCCTTTCGGCTCAGCCGCCGGGCGTTAATGAATTGTTTGTTGTACCTGAAACATTAACGATGGATAAGATTAATCAACTCTTGACCAAGTGAAAGTTTCAGGAAATTGAAACTTGCCCAGCAATAGATGCGGCCCTAGCCCTTAGCGCATTTACTTTTTGACCTGCATCTTCATTAGTTTTTAGAACTTCATAAATCCTAGGAGCCAGTAATGATACACAAACACTGGTGACAAAAATAAAGGTATATGTTTCAACAGGCCTCAATTAGGTAAGACATCGGTCTCCTTCGTTTCTACTACTAATCAGACTCGCAAGTGACCGGAGAAGCCAGGATGACTATAAATACCTCGACCCTACGCCTCTGCTTTATATAATAGTTTTCTACCACTCAATAATCGAGCAGGCCTTGCGTTCTAGGCGACTTGATATCTTCTTCCTCGTGGTTAAAGTCCACTTTTCTCAACTTTTGCGAGCTTTCCATTAGTCCTTGACTAAGTCCGTGTATAGGGTCTCTTTTATATATTCTCGAGCTCTTTCCCTCTAAGCCCGATTACCTTAATAAGGATGAAACCCACCCCTAGCTATTCAGACACTGGCCCCGAGTTTAACCGTCTAAAAAACATTAAGGAGATTTCCCTCAGTGCTGAACTTATGGCCTTTGTCGATAAAGCTCATTTAGCGATTCAGTCGCGAGAATGCTTTAAGCAACGGGACTGCTACAAGAGAACTCTCCTTCATTACGCTGCTATGGGGAACTGTACAAACCTCCTTCAATATCTCCTAAAAAGTAAGCCAGATGTTAATTCTCGTGACTAGTGGGGGCGGACACCGCTTTCCTAGGCTGCTAAGTACGGCTCATTGGCTGTTACGAAAGCTCTACTGAAGCACGGAGCAAACGTCAATACATTAGATAATGAAGGCGCCTCGCCGTTGACATAGCTGAAAGACGCCGGCAACCCAGGAATAACAAGCCTAGCGGCTACTAAGGCTTACCTAAGAAAGAGCGCCTAGGGTTAAAGGAGTTTTTCTCGTTTACTCCGATACATTCGCCCAAGTTTTCAAGGCCCCCGATAACATAGAGAAAACTAATTCCATACTATAAAAATATGGATATTAGAAGAACATCATAACCGGGGAAGCTAGAAAGCACTACGACGAGAGGTTAATTTAGTTTTATCAAGGTAGAACTGAAGAGTAAATAGTTAATTAGAGCCGAATGAATATACGGACCAATTTTATTAGTCAAAACCCGAGTCTTACATGGCGATCCAAGACTGTAAGCTAGGGGGTATACGTACTCGTTTCCACATTAGCCTGTAAAGAGGCTGGTCCATTCGACCCCAAACTATTTACTAGAAGGCTTTAAGTTCATGATGCTTTGCACTGACCATATTCTTAAGCATATCATATAGCACTAGGTCTTCAAAACTTTAGTCAGTATAACAAAGGTACTAGACGATTCTTAGAAGCAGGACAAGACGACATATTGATTATCTATACTCTGAAACTGCAAACGGTAGACCCGTAAATTACTACATCCGGTTGGTTTTGCCTTGTTGGGTTTAGCGACCCAGTACGCCGTCACGTAACCTTCCGACATAAATGACCCGGTTTTAGAAGATAGTAAATACCCCCATCCTAGCGGGCAAACCTAAAGCCTACCACCTCATAAATAGTATCAGGCTCGGTCTGTGGAAGTGAAGTGCTTAACCAAGTTTAGGTAATCAATTATCAATTAAAAACATATAGAAATTAGCTAGGCATATATCTTTCCAAAGCCGGCTGACCTCCGAGGTATTGAGGAACAACCGCTCTAAATTTGTGGCAGAACTGTTTAACACGTGGATTTAACCACCCTTTCTAAATACCCTCTCTAAATACCCTCTCTAAATACCCTCTCTAAATACCTACTATGTTGGTTAGAATTAATAGAACTACCTACTCCTTAACTATCACAGTCGATAGTTATAGTTTAACAGAATTCGTGGATCGGATTCCGACGGTAGATATATACTTACGTGACTAGCCGCTTTACCTTCTCTATTCCTACTTCTTAATTAAATAGCCCGCTTATCCTATAGTAATATATATTTAGAATTAAGATAGTTTCCTTTTAGCGTTAGCTATCTTGACTTTCTACTATATAGTATAATAGAATACTTAATTAGACTACTTCTAAGAGATTAACCTATTTATCTATACTATCTTCTAGTTTATAGTCTGATCTAGCGGTAACCCCTTCTACCTAAGCGATTAACGACCTAAGTATAATAGTTAAAGCTAAAGCTTACCCCCTCCGCGACTATATAATCTTTATTATAATTAGTATTTTTAGACTTTCTTACTTTTTCCTCTTTATTATTTATTTCTTACTCTTCTATTTCCCCTTATCTTTAGGAGGGATCCTAGATTTAATATTAGTGCTTATCTACTATATAGGTATTATCCTCTAGTATTTAACTAGCCTAGTATACTATATCCTATATATATACTATAGTAGTAATATAGTTAAATAGTAAAAGCTAGAGTTTAGAGGTATCTTAGTCCTAATCTAGATAACTACTATTCCTTCTATAGTGTTACTATTCTATACCTAGCCTTCCCTCTAACTTAGATACCTAGCGGCCTTTACTATTATTACTATCGGGACTCTAGTAGATTTCTTAGTCTAGGATCCTAGTATCTATATAGCGAGGTACCGTTTCCTATATAGTTATATCTTATTAGGCTTACTTTCGCTAATATTAACTATTTATACTTTAACTAAGATATTCTAAAGCCCTCTACTATTAGCGGTATATTTTAGTTAAGTTACTATCTAAAATTCTCTTAGAGCTACCTTTTATCTACTTCGGCTGTTAGAGAGGATAGGTATAGTAAATAGTTAGTAGCCTAGTCTCTATATAATATACTTAGTCCTAGCCTATAGCGCTATTACTTATTCGAGGGTTATCCTATATATAGTAGTTAAGTATATAGTATAGACTTATTTATATCTAGAGAGATAGTATAGGCTTTAAAGTAAGATAATACCTATATACTTAGAGGCTGGGATTAACTACCTACTTGTAGATAAAAGGAGGATAGTTAGTATTTACTTCTTACTAGCCTAGTTAGTATATATAAATTTAATATAAGTATAGTATTAAATATAGAATATTTTAGGTCTATTAAGTTCTATAATATATAGGTTAATTAGTACTAGTAAGCGGGAGTATTATCGCTCGCTCTTATTTAGCGATAATAATCGTATAGGGACGTAAGCTATTTCTACTAGACTAACTATCTAAGATAGTCTACTACTAAGTCGAGTGCCTTAGCTACCTATTAAAATAGTAACCTTAGTATACCTTAAAGGTCTACCCTTTATTTTCTAAAAGTAAACGGCCCCTAATATCCGAAGATCTTCCTAAGGCTAAACGTCTTAGACCCTAAGTTTTATAGGACTATAATACTAATAATACTATAGCCTATTTTATAGAAATTTACTATTTAGTTAGCTTAAATTCTAATATTATCTTATATTTTATAGTCGAATAGCGCTTTTTATTAACTATAATTATTTTAACCGCGACCCTTATATACTTAATCTATTACCCTATATAAACTATATACCCTATTTATTTAGCCTATTAGGCTAAAGGTTACTTAGTTAAACGTTTTTATTATTTTTTGAATTTAATAAATAGTTATATATCTCTAAATTTATTAACTTATTTTATACTTATTAATAATATTAGTAAAGATACTATAGCTATATTATAGTTACTACGTCTTAATACCGCTTATACTAAATATCTTACTAAGCTAGGAACGAGATATATTATAGGATACGCTTTATAATAGTTTATACCTTATAGTTAAAAGCGGTTACTAAGTAAAGTAATAACCCTAGTTATTAGGGACTGGATAGGCTAGCTTATCTTCTAGCGTAATATATAATATATCTTCCGCGGATACTAACTAAATATATTTTCTTTATTTAAATATCTAGGGTAAACTTACTAGGCGCTCTAAGTTTTAGTAAAGCCCTACTTCTTAAGTTACTTATTATCCTAAATATATTAATATAG